TTTTTCAATACCGACCACCCCCTCCCCCCCCTCTAAATTCAATTCTCTCCTGGAGAACGTCTTCGTGAGCCTCTCATGATTTCAGGATAGTTGAAACCCTCTTGAACATTTAGAAAGAGTGCATATGAAATTCTAATCACGAAAGGTGTTCCCCGAGGGGATACATACCTAGAGTTTGTTTTGTGAAGCACATCAATTCTCTCCTGGGGAAGCCTCTTATGATGCTCCGATTCAATGCTCACCGATGATCTGAGCCATGGGGCAAGATTGTTTTCCTAAGAGCCTTGGAACATTTCGAAAGCATATGATATGTTTGAACATTTAGAGTGCATATGAAATTATATTTAGGAAAGGTCGCCTCCGAGGGGATAAATCACCATGTCAAACATTGCATTTTTGTTCCTGCCCCTCGCGTTCTCTTCTCTTCCCGCTGTCCTACCTTTCGTGTCTTCCTCCTCTCAAGTTATTAGTATACTAGTAGTAAGGCCAGGAGCCCCTAGTAGCGTCCTTGCTCCTAGTACTACTGGTAGTAAGGCCAGGGGCCCCTAGTAGCGCCTTGCTCCTAGTAGGAAGGCCAGGAGCCCCTAGCAGCGTCCTCTTTTTACTAGTAGTAAGGCCAAAAGCCCCTAGTAGTGACCTTGCTCCTAGTAGTAAGGCCAGGAGCCCCTAGTAGCGTCCTTGCTCCTAGTAGTAAGGCCAGGAGCGCCTTAGTAGCGTAAGGCTAGGAGCCCCTAGTAGCGTCCTTGCTATGGTAGTAGTAAGGCCAGGAGCCTTGCTCCTAATACTAAGGCCAGGAGCCCCTAGTAGCGCCCTTGCTCCCAGTAGTAAGGCCAGGAGCCCCTAGTAGCGTCCTTGCTCCTAGTAGTGAGGCCAGGAGCCCCTAGTAGCGTCCCCTTTTTACTGGTAGTAAGGCAAGGAGCCCCTAGAGGCGTCCTTGCTTCTAGTAGTAAGGCCAGGAGCCCCTAGTAGCGTCCTCTTTTTACTAGCAGTAAGGCCAGGGGCCCCTAGTAGCGTCCTTGCTCCTAGTAGTAAGGCCAGGAGCCCCTAGTAGCGTCCTTGCTCTACTAGTAGTAAGGCGAGGAGCGCCTAGTATCTTTTTACTGGTACTAAGGCCCTCGTACTGTCCTTGCTCCTAGTAGTAAGGCCAGGAGCCCTTAGTAGCGTCCTCTTTTTTTCTAGTAGTAAGGCCAAGAGCCCCTAGTAGCGTCCTCTTCTCACTAATAGTAAGGCCAGGAGCCCCTAGTAGCGTCCTCTTGTTACTGGTAGTAAGGCCAGGAGCCCCTAGTAGCGTACTCTTGTTATTGGTGGTAAGGCCAGGAGCCCCTAGTAGGCCAAGAGCCCCTAGTGGGGTATTCTTTTTATTAGTAGTAAGGCCAGGAGCCCCTAGTAGCGTCCTCTTTTACTGGTAGTAAGGCCAGGAGCCCCTAGTAGCGTCCTTGCTCCTAGCAGTAAGGCCAGGAGCCCCTAGTAGCGTCCTTGCTCCTAGTAGTGACGCCAGGAGCCCCTAGTAGCGCCCTCTTTTTACTCGTAGTAAGGCCAGGAGCCCCTAGTAGCGTCCTTGCTTTAGTCGTAAGGCCAGGGGCCCCTAGTAGCATCCTCTTGTTACTGGCGCCTAGTAGCGTCCTTGCTCCTAGTAGTAAGGCCAGGAGCCCCTAGTAGCGTCCTCTTTCTACCAGTAGTAGCGTCCTTGCTCCTAGTAGTAAGGCCAGGAGCGTCCTCTTGTTACTGGTAGTAAGGCCAGTAGCGTCCTTGCGTAGTAGTAAGGCCAGGAGCCCTAGTTGCGTCCTTGCTCCTAGTAGCAAGGCCAGGAGCGTCCTCTTTTTACGAGTACTGTAGCGTCCTTGCTCCTAGTAGTAAGGCCAGGAGCCCCTGGTAGCGTCCTTGCTCCCAGAAGTAAGGCCAGGAGAGCGTTCTTGCTCCTAGTGGTAGTAAGGCCAGGAGCCCCCAATTGCGTCCTCTTTTTACTATAGTAGCAAGGCCAGGACCCTCTAGTAGCGTCCTTGCTCCTAGTAGTAAGGCCAGGAGCCCCTAGTAGCGTCCTTGCTCCTAGTAGTAAGGCCAGGAGCGCCTAGTAGCGTTCTCTTTTTATTCGTAGTAAGGCCAGGTGCCCCCAGTAGCGGCCTCTTTTTACTAGTAGTAGGCCCTAGTAGCGTCCTCTTGTTACTGGTAGTGCCCCTAGTTATTGGTGGTAAGGCCAGGAGCCCCTAGTAGCGTCCTTGCTCCTAGTAGTAGGGCCAGGAGCTCCTAGTAGCGTTTTCTTTTTATTCGTAGTAGGGCCAGGAGCCCCTAGTAGCGTCCTTGCTCCTAGTAGCAAGGCCAGGAGCCCCTAGTAGCGTCCTCTTTTTATTAGTAGTAAGGGCAGGGCTTCTAGCGTCCTTGCTCCTAGTAGTAAGGCCAGGAGCCCCTAGTAGCGTCCTTTTGTTACTGGCCCCTAGTAGCGTCCTTGCTCCTAGTAGTCACGCCAGGAGCCCCTAGTAGCGTCCTTTTTTTCTTGTTGTCAGGCCAGGAGCCCCTAGTAGCGTCCTTGCTACTAGTAGTATGGCCAGAAGCCCCCTAGTAGCGTCCTCTTGTTACTGGTAGTAAAGCCAGGAGCCCCTAGTAGCGTCCTTGCTCCTAGTAGTAAGGCCAGGAGCCCCTGGTAGCATCCTTTTACTAGTAGTAAGGCCAAGAGCGCCTAGTAGCGCACTTTTTTTACTAGTAGTAAGGCCAGGAGCCCCTAGTAGCGTCCTCTTGTTGCTGGTAGTAAGGCCAGGAGCCCCTGGTAGCTTCGTGTTTTTGCTAGTAGTAAGGCCAGGAGCCCCTAGTAGCGTCCTTGCTCCTAGTAGTAAGGCGAGGAGCCCCTAGTAGCGTCCTCTTTTGACTAGTAGTAAGGCCAAGCAGCAGTAGTTTGTTGAACATTGCAGGACCTTTGGCGGCGCTTGAGACGGAAGCTGAAAGTCGCAATCGACGGCGATGAAAGCATGGCTTGTGGTCACAAGTGCAGCACTTGTCCAACTCGGCATAGCTGTCAAGTGCACGATGCGATGAAAGACATCGAAGACCTTTAATTCCTGGCATTCATGCGATTAGGGTAGTTACGCGTGACAGATGCAGTCATTGACACCTCAAACTAACCTGGCACAGGAGCAGGCCACTGACAGCCAGAGACGGCTGAGCCTGATGGAACGGCGCACTTTACGGCATTCATTGAGACGCAGGTGTTTCAACGCCTAAGCCCTAGGCCCTAAGGCTAAGCGCCGCAAAGGTATTTCACCATCCATTTTCTCATTCCTTGACAAAACTCTCTGATAGCGGCCCTTGCATGGAGTGCAGGGCTGCAGTTCTGCCGGGCTAGTTGAAGATGTACATAGCTTCCAGGTGCTGCCTAGGTGAAAAACTGCAGTCGTGATCGCCACTTTCAAAGGGAGTCCTCTCACCCCTATTCCCATTCACATCAATTTCATGCCCTTTCAAACCCGGGCCCAACCAAGAATTCGGTAAACTAGACTTTTTCGATCACTGCAATGGATAAGAGAGCAACGTGGTTTTCCTTTAGCGTGCAGGTCAGCTGCAGCCGCCAGTTAATCTCCACTTCTTTTCTTGCGTGGTGACCAAGATGCGAGTTTCGCTGGGATGCAGAGTAACATAATGAAAGAATGTGTGAATTTTGATGCCATAACTTTTTTGACGCTGGGCTTGGGTTAGGGGCGGTGGCGGGTGGGATATATGGTTAAGTAGGTATCTCATGATGACATGGTTTGGCCCAAGTAGTTAACTCATGATGACATAGCTTGGCATGAAGGATGTTTGGCATAAGTAGCTATCTCATGATGACATGGCTTGGCCTAAGTAGTTAACTCATGATGACATAGCTTGGCATGAATGATGTTTGGCATGAGTAGCTATCTCATGATGATTCATGATGACTTGGCTTGGCATAAACGACGCCGGTTTGGCGTAAGCAGTTATCTCATGATGACACGGTTCAGCATAAGTAGTTAGCTCATGACGACGTGACTTGGCACAAGTAGCTATCTCATGATCACTTGGCAGTATTGTAATAATGACCCCACTACATAGCTCTTGTCATGACTAGCAACTGCTTCCATGATCCAGCACAGTGGCTCATTTTGCCAATCACTGTGACGGGCGCTTCGGCTTGCCGGCACTGCCAGTACGCCTGACCTGTTTTATTGGCATGCTTGAGTCATTGAAGCCTCCTGGTCTTCTGGTCTTCGGATGTTAGGTCAAGAATGAGAGCACAACGACGTTCATGCTATTGGAAACCTTGCAATCTTAATGGCTGTGGGCTGTGTATTACGTTTTTGTGTGGCCGTAATCGTTTTACAGCAGTGCAAACTGATTTCTCGACTCACGATCTCATGATGACACAGTCACATGATCACACGATTGCATGATTGCATGTAAACACATGATTGCATGTAAGCACATGATCGCATGATTGCATTCTTAAATTTTTGCCTTGCGGACCCTACCATTCTCTTTTGCACGTAGTTGCACGTAATGGCTGTGTCTGGCGCTGGAGAGAACTACGGGCAGATCCAGCTCGTGGCAGTGGGTCGCAAGTTCAAGTACAACGGATATCAGGGGAAGTGGCTCGGTTGGAAAGTAGCCAGTTTCAGTTTCACTGCACATGACCTCACCATAGTTTATTGAGATTGAACTACTACTCCGAGCTTGAATACATGCGCATGACTTGCCATTGTTAAGACATGGACAACCACTCAGGGGATCTTCGGGCAATGGTAACTTGGCTGTCAGCGTGGTATGCGTTTGTCGTATGCGTTTGTCAGTTTACAAGTGTAAGCGTTATTTAAAGGCAAAGGATAGCCATGTTTTCCAGCAATGAACCTGACCCCCAGGCTTTCGGCAAGAGCTAGTCCCACGACCTGCTGGGGATAATGATGAAGAAGCGCCCGCCGTTATTGAGATCTATGCGGATTTGTTGATGCCTCATCGTTGCCTGGGCCATGTAAATTAGGCTTATGCATGCTATAGGAGTGTTCATGTACTCAGCGTGTGAAGGTAAGTGGAACGGCTGCCATGAAAACTGTAATTTTGGACACTGCATGATACAACCAATTTTCAGATTCAAGCTTGCCGTGACATTGCAAATAAAAAAACTCAGGTTCAAATTTGCCATGACCTTGCATGAGAATTGCCAATATTTGCCATGACACATTGAGATAGGTTAGCAAACACCACAAAACTCGCAAACCGGCCTTCTTAAACGAAACAGCGCAGCGCAACTTAGACTACGATCGTGGGACAGAGAAGGACACCGGAATGGATCGGAGCTGTCAGCAAGGGCTTATCGACTTGTACCCTTTGCTTCGGACCTGGATTTTCGGCTTTGCGACGGCAATCTTGCCACCTGGCGCAATAGTCATCATTGTGTTTGTCCTCTTATTTGACACTTTGTTCGTCGCTTTTCGGTTGTATAAGCCAGTGTTTGTTTTCTTGGTGAGTCTCAACCAATGCCAGCTGAGGTCATTGGCAGCCGGTGGAAAGTCTGTTCGAGCGCTCGTGTGGTGCTCGTGGGGCTGCCATCGATCGGTGGCCTTTGTTTGCCAGAGGCTTAAGTTGGCATGGCATGGTGGCATGACATGGCTTGGTATGACATGGCATGACATGTTGTGGCGTGGTTGGCATTGAGTTGTGGCACGGTTGGCATGGAGTTGTGGCATGGTTGGCGTGGAGTGACATCATATAAGGCAGTGACATCATGGTTGGCTTGTTTTAGGTAGCCTTGGGCATAAGTCAGGTTACAAATCCTCATAGCGCCGCACTCGTTCTGAGGTGGCCTTTGGGCACGCATCGTTGGGGTCACAGAAGGGGTCGAGTGCTTCTTCCCTTCTTTGGCGCAAAGCCGGCGAAAGCCAGATGGCCATTGGCAATTGGCACCGAACCTTGCCATGTACCCTTGCCATGTGTCATTGACCCTTGCCATGTACCATGTCATGAGGGAGCTCCCATAAAGACCATCATTAGTCATATTGTGTCACGCCATGATGATGCCATGTACCATGTCATGAGGGAGCTCCCATAAATAAATTACCGTGTCATGCCATGTACCATGTCATGAGGGAGCTCCCATAAATTGTAATTTTGTGTCCTGCTTGAGGCTGGGATGGTATCTCTCGTCCCATCGTTGAGATGCGCGGCACATCTCAAGTTGCATCTCCGGACAATTGGCAAGAAACGGCGACAGCTCCTTCGTCGACCCAGGCGGAGATGACAGAGGAGGCTGGTGAGGATATTGGGCGGAGCCTGAGCCTCGACCGGCATTTCCTCCAGAGCCCCCTCTTCCAGTTCCGTCGACAGCTCCTGAGATGACCTCGACTTCAAATGCTCCGGTGCTCCCGTGAGAGCCACAGAGTCGGTTGTCAGGCCGCCTGGAGCGTATGAGGCCGTGGTGGGAGGGGAGATTGCAAAGGCTGCGGGAGCTGTGGCTGCGCCCGAGTTTTTAAAGGCTTCAGGAGCGGTGCCGGATCCTATTGTTGGAGCCCCTATGGTTGTGCCTCCACGTCCGAACCTTTTGCATCGGGTTTGGCGTCTGCTGCGATGCCTCCGCCGCCGAAGGGCGCCGGGTGTGGAAGCATCAACCCGCTTCCGGCAGCACGCCGACCACTGTCTGAGTGGCCGGAAGATCTTCCAAAGCCCCCGGCGGCGCCGCCGGGAGGAAGGTACAGGCCGTATTGAGAGTTTGGATGTGACATGCATGTCATGTAGTTCACGCATGCAGCATGGAATGTCGTTCACGCATGCATTCATGTAGTTCACGTTCACGTTGGAATCGACAACTAGTACTGAAGTGGAACTTTGCTGTTGAGAAATTTAATTAGTAATTCAACCTCTCATACGGATAAGGGCAGTAGCTGCAGTTGAGGGCGCCGGGCTGTGTAAGGGCCCCGCAACTCCTGTGGCAGAAACGTGGTGACAATGAGCGCCCCGAGCGTGTGATGAAACGTGCGCGGTGGGCCGGGCTTGTCATGACGTGGCACGGATTTTTTGTTGACATCAGGCAGAAAACAGATATAGAAGGGTGAAACGGCATATAGGTGATCGTTGCACTGCATGGCATCTCATGGTGTGATGGAATGGCATGTCATGACTGAGTGCCAGGTCGTGATAGCCCGGGGTGCCGGCGCTGTGCTTAATGTCGAACAAATCATCACATAGGGCCAGTTGCCACGATGTGTCATGTCATGGTTCCAGAGCTGTCATGTGTTACTAAACACTTGACATGTGTATGTGTCTGTTAGAGGGTGCGGTGGCCTGTTTACATGGCCATTTGTGTTTTGAGGGTGGGGATACGCTGGATCTTTTTCTAAATTCTGAGGGAACTATTTGTAAGCTACCTAAAACTATTTCTAATTCAACATCTCTTTTCCACCCCTTGAGCTCTCATCCTGATCTATTTTCATCTGTTTTTCTGTAGTGGGATGCTTTCCCAAAGGCGTGTGTTTTTCAATAGACCTTACTTGCAAAAGACAAACATTCGATTCATACACTATACTGTATGTAGCCTGTAGTCAAGCTATGTAAGCATGACTCAGTGTAGCTCGTTGAACTGGAGAACATTCATTGGTGTGGTCTCCAACTTTCAGTGCATCACACAGCCGGTTCAATCAACAAACGTGAAGAGCATAAACCAAGGCAGTGTAGTAGCACAGTTGGCTAAACCACTCTGCCACACCTTCGTAGGGGACACTGAATCATGTGTTGCATTAACTAACATCAAAATATGACATATCATGCCACTACCACTCCTGACTCATGCGCTGTTGGCAATTTAGCATTAGACCACCTGCCATGGCCAAAAGGACCAAGAGGAAGCCAAAGCGGATTAAAGTCCATGTTAGAGTGAGAGTTCACAAAAAAAGAAGGCAGCCAGTGTCACCAGCAACCAAACATCCAGAACCAAAGGAAAGTATTTCTCCACAACCAATCCAAAGGCAGCCACCTGAAGGACTCCAGGCCCATGCAGCCCATGCACCAGCCAAAGAAGCTGCCCAACATACAGCACGGAAAGTACCACTGCCACCCCCACCCCCACCCCCACCAAGAACTACAAGAAAGAGTGCCATGCATAGACTACCCTTGCCACCACCACCTCCCCCTCCACCGCCACAACGACCACGTTCTGGACGTCATGGCCATTGTTATCCCACTGCACCATGGCTATTTTGGCTCATGGGTCAGGGGTGACTGGCACTGCATTAGGTAACGCGTGGGGGTCTTAGTCATGCGCCGGTTTAGCTTCGGCGTGCGTGACGAGTCAGATGCGGACGAAAGTTCAGATGACACCATTATGAGCCAGCTGTTTGGTTGCACTTCTGAGAAGCTTAGGTGATGCCTAGCAGTATTTTGGGGGGGCTGGTGAGGTGGGAGGAAAGTCAGCAGCGTGTAACAGTATGTACTGCAGACTGCAGCCGGTATTTCTATGTAGGATCTTGAACATGTTCAATAGATTGTCTTGGTCTCCATCTTCAAGAACCAAACAACATTGACTGTTCAGACCCCACATAGTGGGTGTGTTGTAGGGCAGCTATTCTCCCAGTGCCAGTGCAGGCACTGCCCGTTTGATTGAGTGGAGTCTGTTTTTTTTCTACCATGTACCATAGCCATAGCATTATAGCATATCATATATCATCAGAATCATATGTGATATGGGTTTTGTGAATCAATAGTCAATATGAGGTTTGTGAATCACGCAACCCCCACACATTACATTGTCAAAATCTAAGGGATGCAGATGCAGATGCAGATGCGCCCCCCGCTACTCACCTTCTCCGTGATCGACCACCTTTCCTGGACTGGGTTCCCCTCTACTTCCAACATCTGGGAGTGGAAGACTTGCCACTCGCCGGCACCTTCAGGATCAACAATTTCAGTAGCATCATCACGAATCATAATTCCAATACCAGTTGTTTGGACGGGATAGTCTGGTGAGGCAACATGCAGAGTTCCTGGCCCAGATTCTAATGAAGCCTCCACAGTGGAAAGAACTGAGGTCCAGAGTGAGGCAGCCTGACATGGTTACTGTCACACTGGTTGAAGGGTGTGCGGGAGCCGCCACTGGAAGCTATGCTATGAGTCTCAGCTTTTTGAACAGCATGCAGCATGCATGCAGTGCATCTACACTTTCTATGTGTGATGTGATGCCAATGATAAATTATATCTGGCGGCGTATATGATATGATATGAAATTATATGTGATACGTGATATGTGTCATTGGTCATTGGATGGAGGGTTGCATTAGAACATTGGTGTGTATGAGCAATGGGGCAAGGATGTGACAACCTGTGATGTGTGCAAACAAAACCTTGCTGTGTGTACTCTCTGTCTCATATACAAAGTCGAGGTCTTCCAAAAAACGACAAATAAACCAAATGCCCAGATGTCAGGAAGCAGATCACAGACTTCCTCATGAGAAAGTTTGCCGTTTGTGTGGACGTGCGTTGCTTTGCAATGGATAACGACCCCATGAAGCAACAGTTCATCGAGCAGAACCATCGAGGGAGCAGCTCTGCTGAAATTTCAAGTTGCATTAGACAGCTCTTGCTTTTTGATTGGCGTGTGGGGGCTCTGTGTATTTGTTAGCAGAGTCTGTTTCTTTTGATTTGGACTTTGAAGTGTCACGACAACAAGAGAAACACAGATGATAACCGCTACCACTTGCCTTTTGATCTTGCACGCAGTTGAAGTAGCATCAAGAACCAAGGGTCAAGGGTCTTGTCAAGGGTTGCAAACAAAAAGCACGTTGCGCCGTGTGTACACTTCCTGAGTGGCCCACCTGCTGAATGACATCTCCTTCGGTGTGACTGGAGGGCATTGCGTTCTTCATGACAAGACATGTCACATTTCTGTGACGTCTGAGGAGTGCTGCGATTTGTTGGTCACATGTCATTGTGCCATGAGGCCATGAGCCATTTCTAGGCAGTCAGGTGAGGTCAGGACAATCATATGTGGCCAATGGTCTTTTCTCAGAATCACGCAATGTCTTTCATCCAGTCCATGTTTGTTGGCTGATTCCAGAATTGCAAAGCAAGTAAGAAGTCAGTGTATAGGTGTCACTATTGCGTGACAAATCAACGAATCGTATCTCCTGATCAGTATGTTGTGTCTTGCTGAGAGGACATTTTCGCATTTGGATCTCCATGCTGCCCGTTTAGCATCCTGAACTGCAAGCGGGCCCCGAACTGGAATCCTTTTCTGGAGGGAGATGCGCAGCCATTTCTGTCAGGAGCCAGACACATACGAGACTTGGCTGGTGATGGGAGCCTCTACGGGTTTCTGTAGATTCTCTAAGCAATCACAAGAACCAAGAGCAGAAACAACAAACATATGTCCACCACAGACACCACATCAAATTTCAATTGAACTTGTTCATTGGAAGAGAGTACAATATAGTCTAGTCATGCAGTCCGAGTCGTCTATATACAGTCGAGTCTGTAGGCTCATGGCAGCACGGAACCTGTGGAAACACCAAACCTCTGCGCTGTGTCTTTCATTTGTTGCTATGAAGTTTGTGTTGTCAGAACAGATCGTAATGAGCAAAAACATTTGAGGCCAATGACACAGCTCTGTAGCTTTTCAAGTTGGGCCATTAACCAAACTCTCCTTATCCAAGGACACAGGCGCCCGGCCTGTGTGATGATGGAGCAGGCAGGCAGCCGGCGCGCAAAAACAAATTAGACCGGAAGCGCAAAGGGTCAGAAAGGCCAGACTGGATCTTAATTTTGGTAGCGCGTTCGGATTTGCATTCATTCAGGTTTCAATCAATCGGTCAGAATACATACTGTAACACAGTATGACATGACACGGTATATGATATGTGATATGAGTCGTTATTCTGTTGTTCTTTCTATTGTTGATTTCAATCAACACTGACTTCTGGCATAGGACAAACTGTTGGTTCAAATCGTTTTTTCATGATGTGAAGTCAAGTTGACAGAAACGTGTGCAATGTTGTGGGTCCTGTTGAGTCTACAGCACATTGCTTGTTCACTGCAGGTGGAAGGGATCTTCCGCCGCTTTCCACGTGGGAGCACTGGTGAGTTTTTCCGAAAATGGAAGGCCTGGATTTCTGGGGGCCACAGGATGGGGAACGGTCAAAGGTAGAAGTAGAATTTGTAGACTGTAGCCTCTGTAGTTGATTTTGTTTTATTGTGTTGAGGGGAGGAAGGAAGGGAGGGAGGACAAAGCACTGTTTCAGTGTGAGGAAACATGAAGGTTCAAGAAGTAGCAGATCCCAAAAGATCGTCGCCCAATCAATCCTCATTGAATTTGATATCAAAGCCAAAGCAATTCAAGATTGCACATTGTTCTTTACTTGGGCTGTCTTTCAATGTTGATCTTCATATTCATTTTTGCAAAGCAGCGACACCAGGTACTCTGCAAACACTACACAACCTATGACTCAGCTCTTCTGTTTGTTGGTTGAGTTCCGAGTGTTCAGGAGTAAGTTGAGGAACATCACAGCAAACCGAGCAAACCAGAAACAGGCACTAGACCCCAGCAGTACCTCGCATAGTTTATAGCAGCAGTTATGGGCCTGCAGCTTCATACATTCGTGTTGGTTGCTGCTTGCATCGACTACTCCCAAGAGTTCTGGCTGTGGATCAAGCAGGCATCAAAGCAGCTGACACCCCTGGGAGTCACCTATGTCAAGTTGTAGATGCACTGTTGGCAGACAACAACCCCGTCCAACCAGATCAAGTTCTCAGTGAGTCAGACTTCCAGGTGTTGGTCTCCAACTTGCTGGATGAGGACAAGAACTATGCACTGCAAAACAGCACTCGGAGGCAGATGGTTCAGCGAGAGCTGATCAAGCCAAGCTTTCATCAGGCATCGATCATAATTGACATTCTGGTTCAAAGGGTTGAACCAGGTATCAATTTCTTTCTACGCAGAACTCGGGTCCTATACGACCTTCAGTACCTCAGCAACGCAAATGAAGAGTTTCAAACACTGAAGGATGAGTCAAAGGCTCGATTCTTGAAAGTGATCCGAGGGGAGCTGGGCAAGGAACTTTTATCACGATACATGAGCTTTCTGTTACATGGGTTGAGCGACTCCATTGCTATGGGCCTTGAGGGAACACAAGATCAGATTGACCTTATCTATCAAATGGTCATTACTTGTGTATCAGACCTTCATCGTCGCTTCATTGAAGAGTTCCTCACACCTCCTTTCACATTGCTGGCGTTGGCTGATGCTGATGAAGAGACATTTGTCAAAGGATGGCAAGAGTTGGTCCACAAGTATGCCGAGTGTCAGTGCTGTGTGGACTATGAATTTAGCACAGCTTTGCTTGAAACCTACCCATGCTTCTCCATTCCACTTTCTGCAGAGCAGCAGAAGGATGTCCAGGCTGTCCAAAACCTTCTTCTTTCTGAATGCTGCATTTGGTCACCATTGTCTTCTGATGCAGTGGAAATATTAAACGGGCAAACACAATGGGCATTGAGTCGGAGGGGAAGCCAGTTTGTCAAGAAGGAAAAAAGTGCCGTGGAGACATCCCTTTTGGGACGGGCAGTCAAGCACTACTACTGGCTTGCAGAAAAGGCTTGTTGGGAGACCTTGCCACAAAAAAGGGTGATGAGTCAGATTCGGCGGAAAGCTGGCTCTAAGAGCTCCAACCAGCACACGGTCCGAAATGCTGATCGGCTCTTAGTTGTTCATAGAAACACGGCAGGACTGATTGGATGGCATTGTCAATTTGAGAACTGATACTTCTTATGTGGGCTTTTGTTTTGGATTCAGAATTCAGAACATCACAATAACAAAATCATATGAATCATACCCCACTTGCATTTGAACTAGTAAATTTATTGTAATTGAACTGAACTATATATTATAAATTTTTCTAATATATAATATATATAGTTTATATTTGACTCATATGTTCTTTGAAGACATAGTGATTCACTCTAAGGATGGCAAACATCCTGATCGCACCCGGGAAGATTTGGAGACAGATGCTGACAAAGCAGCTCGCTTCAATGTCGCTGCAAATCGAAGAATCCGGAAACTGAGTGGGTGGAACATTTTTTCGAAACAGCATCTCAGTGGTGGGAGCCACGATACCAGTCAGTATACATCCAGGGTAAAGGAGGCTAGCAAGATTTGGAAGGAGATGAGTCAAGATGATCGGGAGGCCTTCGAGATTGAGGCCAATCATCAAGACAAACTTCGGGAGGAGTTGGCCAAAGTCCCCTTGTCATCAGCTGGTGCACGTATGGAGCCTACGAACCTGGAGCAGCAAGTTGGCGCAAAGTCTTGTAAGCTTTTGTCTGCGCGGCGGTTGAAGCTCAATGACGATCAGTATGACAAGCATCCTTTGTGGGACCTCCCGACCTGCCTTGCCGACAGTAACTTGTTTCTGCTTCAGAGTCAAATTTTGTTGTTTTTATTAACTGGCATTGACATTGACATCAAACAATGGATGGTGCGTATCCATATCTTCTTTTTTTGAGATCCACTCCACAAGACTTTTTGTATCACGATCAGTCAGTGACAGAAGCCATGGGTAGGTGACTGCTGTACAATTTTTTGAACATATTATGAACAGACTCTATTGCAGTGACAGGCACGGTCGTGTTCTTCTTCTCAGATGCAGTCTGGGTTGTGGGTCGGTTATGGCTACAGAGAGGGACATATTTTCTGTTGTTCCTGGATTCTCAAGCCAGCCTAGCCTAGGCAAAGGAGCGTTGCAGGTGCAAAACATTGACATGGACCTCACTGACAAAGACATTGACATCAAATTGGGTGAGACTTTGCACCATCCTTGTGAAACCACTCAGACGAATGGAGAAGATCTTCCGAATATTCATGACTCACCTTGCCACCATTTCATTTGCAAGAAGAATTGTCACTACCCACGAATGGAACAACTTGTGAGGGATTTGTGTTGGCGTCTTGAGGAGCATGAAGTGAAGCCAGGGTCCTTATTGCTCTTTACTGTGGCAGACAGCAGTTATCCAGTGATACTTGGTGTATCCATGAAGCGGCCCATTACTCACATCTTTCTCAATGCTTCTCTTGACGCGGAGCAAGTTTCCTTCACTGACTCCACAGGTGCTTTGCCGCAGTTTCAATCTTCACATCAGTTGATGCTCACACTATTGCGAAAGCATTCCCCAGACCCAGATGACATTCTTGTCGTGTCAGTTGATGCTTGGCATTGCAGGGGTTTTTTGGAAACGTCAGGAGATGCCACCATTCTCAAGAGCAACCCTGACACTTTGCTTTGCGAATTTAAGATCACCAGTGAAAGAAAGGCAAAAAAGAAACCAGCCATTGTTATTTTGCCTTTGGGCTTTGAGAACAGGTTGAAAAGCATGAGGGCCCAAGCCAGAAAAAAAGGTGGCCAAGCAAGCCGGAAGGTCCAGAAAAAGACAAAGGTCAAAAACACAAACCCAAAACAAAAGGCAACATCCAGTTCAGGGTCATCTTCAGATTCAGAGGGCAATGCTTCCGGCTCCAACCAAACTTGCGGAGATAGAGAAGAAGAGGAAGCAGCCCCCATGTCAACTGTGGTTGCAAGGGAGGAGCAAGCAGTTGAGGAAGTTGCTGATGAGGTGGTGTCTGTTGATCTCCAACGGCGCGAAAAAGCTGAGGTCATCAAGGCCAATACATCTACTGCCCGAAGTTTCTTTGCAAAAGAACTCGGACTGGACAGTGCAGGGACGGCAACAACTGGCCGCTCAATATGTTATGCAGAACAAAAATCAATATCCACACTGTCCGATACTGTTGGTATTTCTCAAAAGTGAAGCCATCAGGCTGGTGCCACAGCCATTGCCTACAAATCCAGATTAGGCAAACAGGCTTGAGAGAGCAAGCCATTCAAAAGTTGAAGGAGGTTGCAACACAGGCTGAGAGTACACCACATCTCTACAATCCTGTAGCTGCAGATGCCCGAAAGCATCTGCAAACCTTACAGTCAGATGCCGCGTGAAAAAGACTCTGCCACCTCAGGGACAGGGGACAGGTGACCCACCGCCAATGTCAGTTTTTGAAAACACTGCTGTATGTGACTTGATGTTACGTTGCATTTTTGTTGGGTCTTGTTATTTTTGCCCTGCCCTGACGCCTACAAGCTGGCATCCACCCCTAGGCAGTGAGTATAACCTCAGTTGACATAGATTGCCAGTTGGTATAGAGACAGCCAATGGCCCAGGTTTGACCAATGCCACTATATAATTAGACCGGTCAGTGGCCTCTTTATTGGGTGTGTTCTGTTTTATTGTCAGTATCCAAAACCCTGCCTGGAACACCCCATGTAACAAATCTACTTGTTTTCTAGGCTGATGTACACTCTCATGTAACAAAAGCTGCTGTGTTTCAGTGCTGTGAGCTGGCCAGTCCCATTTGTGGCCAGTCTGGCCCAAAGCAGTGAATGTGCGTGCTGCGCAATGGAATCTGGGCCAAGTCCGGGCAAGTTGAAGGAATTCTTCAGCCGTGAATCTCAGCCACTATTAATGTTCTTGAAGCTGGGTCCAGAGTTTGATACCTCTGGGACAACCTTGTGAAGTTTTCTCTACATTGCTTCGTCGTGTGACATGTGTGTATGTAAGGTATCAAGACTGTCTCCAGTAACTTGCAAGTGGTCTGCCATTGATTCATTGGCCCATGCTTTAGCTTTTGGGATCCAACCAGCAATCTGTCTAAGGGGCGTGGCAATCTACCTCCATGGCTGCAAATGACTGTCTTCCCAGACTATTGGGTTGACCAGCTCCTTGACATTTACACAATGTCAATTACACTGCACTTCTTTCATATACAGTACTAGTACATGCATTCCAAACCCATTTCACTATGTTCACCAGCTACTTACCTCACAGTGGGTTGAAATATTTGGTTTGATGATGGAAATCGAGATCCATCCATGATGTTCTGGCTAAACGAGTGCCTCACATCGAACATTTTACAGCTCCGGCGGAAAAGTCAGCCCTGCAACCACCATTGTCAGTCTATCCTCCATTTTTCCTCGGTTATATTCGACTCTCCCGCAGCCGTTTTTGCTCGCCCACGGCCTCCCATGATGGAATTGCTGAAGTGCTGCCCAGGTATTTGGAGCTGGCACTGGTTGAGGAGAAAGACAAGGAGTCATTGAAGGGTATGGAGTGGCATGGCAGCAAGGGTTTGGGTCAGACTGACTGATTCATTGACTTTGGACTTTTGCCCAACATGATCCCCACCCAGTTAAACCACACGTTGAGAGTTTGTGCATCCACCTTCTACAGTCTACACATGTTGAAAAGATTTGAACTGACATTCACTATTCACCCCATGCAAAGTCGGTCAAACACACCTGCACATGCAATAATTATATTATATAAATTCTATTGTTTATTATTTAAAGATATATATATATTGTTTGTATGAGGTACGGTATGTATGAATATTTATTGTCACTTGTCACTACAGACTACATGTCCTGTTTGCAGATAGCCGACCCAACAGCCACCTTTCAATGGATTGGCAGTAGCAGTAGCATGCTCATTTGCCACTTCAGAGTGCCAAGGATCGCAATTTGGGGTGCATGTGAGGGTGCTGGGACGTCAGCTTACATTGCGAGTCTCGACTAAGCTTGCACAAGTAACCTGACAGAGTCAATGGACGGCCTTTTTGATTACAGTATGACTTTGGGAAAGCTCCATGTCAAAATGCCACATGGGTCACCGGTCTAATAATCTCATTGACTCATTGTTGTAACCGCTGCATTTTGGAAAGTGCAGCACTTGCAGATGTTGTAGTGGAGCGCCTTCGAGTCCCAGCCAACTCAGGAAGAAGATGGCTGACAAGCTGCCTGTGAAGTTCAAGATGGTTTTCAGCAGCGAGGTCGACAACAAGTTGAGGGCATGGTGCACCAAGCACTATGAGTGCACCTTTGATGCAGTGAAGCTGGCAATAATGCAAATAAAGTCAGACAGCGATACATCAAGGTCTCAATGAGTGAATATAATATCATTAACATTTGTACAAAGCACGCCTGCTCACATGCAAACAATTTGCAGCTGTGTGGTGAAGTTGCATGAGTTTTCAACTGGACTATAGTGAGACTGTAATTGTGGGCCCCATCCTGCAGGCTCTCATTATTGGTCCTTGATTAGCTGATGCTTCCCAAGTCTCAGCAAATTTGTGGACTCGCACCATAGTGCAATCTGAGGGGAACATTTCTTTGCCGACGTCTCCGATGATACAGAGGGCGGGTTCTGCAGTGTTTGCGAAGCTGACCATTCAGTCCTGAGAAAGGATGAACCTTGTACTAGTACTACATTAAACGAACTGATGTGACGGGAAGGGTCGAAGGAACCTGGGTCGCCTGAAGCCTTACTCAACCACTCAAAGAACAATCAGTCTCGCACAGCTTGGCAGCCTGGGGGTGATTCCTGATGATCCATTTCTTGTGTGCATATGCCACCGATGATGATGAGCAATGATCCGCTTTGATGTTACCACACTGACCGATGCTGAGGATGACATTGCAGTTATGGGAATTCCTTGCCCATTGTTCTCAAGCCTCAATACAAAGACTCGGACTCCAGGATACAACCCGTTCCTCCAGAAACCTGGCTGCACTGTCTACCGGGTGTGAATAATGAATGTGTCTCGAGTCAGTGAGTCATGTCATTTGTGCTACTACTGCTGTTGCTGTAAAGGCTAAATCTACTGAAGGGATCTGCATTTTGCACCAAAACATAAATAGGCTGAGACTCAGACTATTATATAACTGTGGCTGTAGTTTGTTGGTTGTACAGTTGTAAAGTTGTACATGTCACAGTCCACAGTGGCTTTTTTTGACCTGCTGAGGCCTGAGGCCCGCATCATCAAGGAGTGTTTGAGGAAATTGAGGGACAGAAACCCCAAGACCTTCGTGATTGAAGAGGTTTCCAAGCTGCATGTTTCACAGACTGACATACACAAGGTTGCCATTCTGGGGAGGCGAACAAGGTTGATTGTGTTGATTCAAGACTTCAACTATGACTGACTAGAACTTTCAATACTTGGGCTGTCCTTCGAGATTGTGAGTCTGAGCCAGTGTGAGATAGGTGTGAGTGAGTGAGATGCGCCTCAGCAGGCACAGTACCTCAAGACCTAACTTACCTCAAACACAATATATATATAGTAGTATAAAATATGTTATATTATATACTATATACTATATACTGTAAAGTAGTTTTTTTTATATTTATATATACTGTATACCCAGAATGCTCACCAGCCAAGGTCTGGAACATCACCAAGAAGTTTCCAGAAGTTCTCACAGGCGAATGGGCTTCTTACGAGGTGGGGCAGCACAAATGGACATGACTTACAGCAAACCAACCGCTCTTTAGATGTTTTGTTTGTGGCTGGCGAGTTTGTGAAATGCTCGCGTGCTGCTCATATGCAGAATATAGGTGTGTAAACATAACCTACCTCATCAGTTTCTTTTGGGGTGTGGCGCACCACAGGCGATTGCTTGAGTTTGGCTTGGTTTTTGTTCCAGTCCAGGGTGGGGGCCACGATCAGTCCACTGCCTTGGGCAGCCTATGGCAGCCTATCATGCCCAGTAACATGTGCCTAAGAAGATCTGAATGTGAACAAGCAAGTGCGATGCAATTACATACAGTAGATTAGATTGGGTTCTCATTAAGTTAAACATGTTCTGTGCATGCCTTTTTAGATTTGTTCGTTTGTGACGTGCGTAGCAGTAGACGGCAGTTGTGTTGTGTGGCCCACAGAAAACAAGACAGGCATACAGTATACAGCATACACATGCCAAATTTTGTCAGCCGCCTTCGCTGCAATGCTCCCCATGCAGCTTCACAGTCTGGTGCATCCTCATCCAGCTTGTCCCATGCAGTTGTGAGTGACAGCAGCAGCCACGACAGTGCTGACCAACATGATGGTGACAACAGTGATGGTCCAAATGGTTGTGAGCAAGACAGTGACAGCGAGTCTCAGGAGGCTCAAGATTTGAGACTCAAACGGAGGGCTCAAACCGAGAAGGCCCGAGCAGCTGCTTTTGTGGCAAAAGCAAAGCGCAAAATGGCCAAAACCATGCCGCCACCTGAGCACCCAGCAGCTGAGTTCAAGGATGCCTTGCAGCCACGGCCAACCATAAACAGACCTGGGGGCTTCCTTAGCAACAAGTTGGCACGCTGGCGGCGATTGCGCGTCGTTATATCCTTTTTTCAATGTTGGTGTGCGAGACTGGAAAGCTTTCTCACAGGAACAGTTCCTTGTGCCAATCACCTTTTTACTGTCAGTGTCATCGACGATACGAACATGGTTTTGTCAGACCTGGTCGACAAGAACCTTCGAAAAGCGAGAGTTGTGACTCTCATGAACATGGTGGAGACATGTGTGATTTGCTTTGATGATCCCAGCACCAATTGTGAGAGTCATGGCACCTTTCTGGTACATGTTCCACCTGTTGCCTTGCCACAGGCAACAGCAGGGACCATATGGTCAGAAGTGAAGAGCTACCTGTTGGTCTGGATGTCACGGGTGTCAGACCGTTTCAAGGCCTTTGGCCTAAGTGAATCCATCTTCAACTGTGTGCCAATACAAGCCACAGTATTAGTCTGGGATTCGCTTGCCACCAATGTCAGCATACTAAGGGGTGTGAGGGAGATTGTGCATCTTCACCATGAAACTGAGGGAAGCAGCACTTTGCATCCAGCCTTTGCAATTTTTTGCAATCTACACCAGCTTGCACTGGCTAGAAAGCCATTGATCCACCATTTTCATGGATGCTGGTCATCAGTGGTTCGCTTGTCGC